ATATTTTAACAACTGGCCGTCCAAGGGGGGTTGGGGCAGATACCTGATTTATAGCATTTTCCAATTTCCATGGTGAAATCTTAAGGATGACTTTATAAATTCAAAAACATACATGAGTGCTGGGTTGTAGCACAATACATAGCCCCTCCTTACCATGTACAAGACCTTGGTTCAGTCCCCAGCACCAAAAAGAAAAACAACAAAACCCAGAAATGAAAACAAAAAGACCACAGATGAAATGGAGAAATTCTACAAAAGGTAAAAATGACTAAAATCAACTTGAGAAGTGTTACAAAGCCTGAATAGTCCTATTTTTATTAAAGAAAGGAAATTCATAATTAAATCTGCCTATAAGAAAAATTACAAGTCCAGATGGCTTTAATAGAGATGTGTATCACTTAGATAAGAAACAATGCCAGTGTGCCACAAATTCCTCCAGAAAATACAGTAGGGTACACTTCCTACTCATTTTTTGAGGCTAGCATTATGTTTTTACCAAAATTGGATGAAGGCCTATTAGAAAATAAAACTGCTATAGGGAAGTGTACTTTATGATAGATGTAAAAAGAAAATCATTAACAAAATATCAGCAAATTGAATCTAGCAACATGTATATATAGATTATAATACTTAATGATCAAGAATGAAATGTTGGTTTGACATTCAAAATGGCTATAATTCACCATATTAAGTATATTAACTATTAAATATAAGTATATAGAAATTTAGATATATAGAAAAACTATATTATCATCTCAAGATATACAACAAACCATCTGAAAAACTTAGCTCCCTCATGACAAATATGTGTTTGTAGATAGATTTATCTTTCTCAGCTTGATAAAGGGCATCAGAACCAAATCTGCAGCTGATATCAACTTCAATGTTGAAAGAGTGCACAGTTTTCTACGACAAGAAAGAAGGCAAGGAAATTCACTCTAAATCACTTCTACTCAAGGCCTTAGGCAGCAGAATTTGGAAAAAAAAAAAAAGGAACACATAAAAGGCATACAAATTTTAAAAGAAGAAATGCTGTCTTTACAGAACATTTAGGTATAGAAATCCAAAATAATTTCTAAAATAGCTGCCAGAACTACTAGATGAATTTAACAGAGTTATAATGTCCATTTGCACAAAATCGTTTATATTTTTATAAACTGCAAACAATGTGAAAGATATCACTCCGTATATATTAGCATCATAATACATGAAATATTTAGGTATAGACTCAACAAAATGTATGCAGTGGGTATACATTAAACCACAGTCAGTGCTAGGAAAAATTAAAGAAGCCCTAAATAAGTATATGACTATAACTTATATTCATGAATTGGAAGATTAAGTGTTGTTCAGAGAGGTTAATTCTCCCCAGCCACAGTGAGAATTTTAGGAGGATGTTTTTATTAATTAACAAGCTGAGATTCTAATAGTTAAATAGAAATGCAAAAGATTTAAAATAGTTAAGTTTGGAGGAAGAACAGATAGACAGAGCCTGTGGTAAGCAGAATTTTCACATTGCTTACAAGATTCTGCTCCCTGCTGTTGAGGCCTGTATAATCCCCTTCCCAAGAGGAGGAGAGGACTGTAAGTAGCATGGAATTTGTCTATGATTAGGTTATCTTAGGTAGCAAAAAGGTGAAGGGATTTCTATCAGTGGTTCCACCTAGGAAAGAAGTGGTTTTCTGCCTGATTGTGGACGCCTCGACCAAAAATAAAACTTTGTCCCTTCTAAAGATAGACATGTCTTGGGCCAGGGATTTAGCTCAGCGGTTCGGTGGCCTGCCTTACAAGTGCAAGGACCCGAGTTCGATCCCAGGGACCAAAAAAAAAAGACATGTCTAAACCACCTTTCAAACACATTTATTGCCCAGCCCATTTTCAGGTCAGACCAGAAGTGAAGACCCACATAGACCATAAAGCAACCTTACATGTATTTGTGTAGGAATTCTAGGGTGAAGGTCACTTGGATGTGGTCCAGAAGGGGAGGGGCGGAGGATCTGAGCAGATCCTGAGTAGTCAGTGGGCCTGGGATCTCTTCACCCCACAGGGAAGCATTAGGCCTCCAAAGGCAGGACTTCACAAACTTTTATGTGCATATAATTGCATGTTAGGGAATTAAGGAACTTAGAATCAGGGCTCAGCAGGGGAAGACCTTTGGTGCTGCATATCTGACAAACTCCTAGGTGACTTGGGAGTTGTATGGGATCCCACCGAGTAATCGGCCATCCAAGGGCAGTTCTGTGGAATCCGGCAGTACTTTCCTGGCACTGAGGCATCATATCAGCCCTAATTTGGTAGGTGTGCGGAGAGTTGTCAAGCTTATACAACAAGAAAGAAGTGAAAATAGAAAAGATTATCTTTAACTGGCCTCTCTGTGTCACAAGTGGATTTGTACGTGGCAGTGCCCCAGCCCGGGTAATGTCTTAGAAATGCTGGTCAGTCACTTACAGGACCTTCTTCCTGACCTCATGACCTCATTTCAGATCTCCTGCCTCTCTCGGTTACCAGGCTACTGCGCTAAGACACCTCAGGAAGGATCCTCTTTCTAAATCCTTGTTTTCACAGACCTGGAAAAAGCCGGGTTAATTCTTCTTCAAAATCGTATCATTAAACCTCACTTGAATCATCTGATTCATGTTGGTTCTAAATATCTCTTTGCATTCCTAGCACATTATCCACAGCAGTGCCCCAAATCATTTCCATTCTGCTCTCAGCCACATTTCCAACTGTCAGCAAAAGTGCTTCATCTTACTTTAAAAAAAGAAGAATGCCTGGCCAGTATTCCTAATCCTATTCCTTGCCTTCTCTTGAGTTTTGATGGTCAGTCATTCCCTATCTTTCCTCTCCACTTATTCTGACTTCTAGCCACTCAAAGTCTTGTCCAGATCTCCTGTTCTGTAAAAATCACACCAACCTCCAGATACCCTCTTGCAGGTCTCTCCGCACCTCACGGCCACAGTCGTGAGTAGGACACTCCTTCCACTGTCTCTGCTGCCACTTACATCACGTGAAGTCTGGACTTTATTTCACCAAATAATTCAGACTGCCAGTTTGAAGGTCATTCAGATGAATAAAAAAAACATGCTCTTTCCTATTGTTATGTGTCTGTACATGTGAAAGTCTAATTCATTTTAATTTTCCTTAGCAAATTCTTCCTTCAAAAAATAAGAATAAACTAAGTGCATTGCAGATTCCTTCTACATAATCACCCAAGTTAGTGGGATGAAAATTAATAAAGTGACAGTTCCTGTTGCATTTACTGTATGTGAAAACATATATGACAAATGTGATTAAAGTGAAAAGAAAACTTGGATTTATCTATTTGTTGAAAGGAGAAATGTGGTAATGTTTCCCCAGCCTGGTGTGAGGAGGCAATGTTGAGAGGTAATGTAATAAAGATTTAAAGTAATTATCAAATATGTACCTTGATAAGTACAGTTACCATGAATTTCAGTACATCTGAAGTCTGAAGTGAAATGAACAATTCAATATTGTGGATAACTAAAAAATTATCCCTTGTACTTGAAAAGATGTAGTAGTTAACCTTAAGCTAAAACTAGAGCTTTTCTCTTTTTTATCTTGAGAATTTATAAACAGGGTGAACATAGTTGACCCAAGAGCAAAATAAATAACCGGATTCCCAATCTGATATTAAAACAGCACATATAATCTAGAGTTGCTATTGTAATGATCATCCATTGTGTTTTTTTGTTTTGTTTTTTATTTTTGTTTTTTGGGTATGGGGATGGAACTCAGGCTCTTGTGCTTGCAAGGCAGGCATGGGCACCACTGAGCTAATTCCCCCGCCCCATTGTGTTGTATAGAATAAGAAACATTTGTAACATCCTAGCTTTTAAGGGTTTTTCCCTCCCTGACCAAGATTACCCAAGTCGTAACTGATAACAGTTGGAAAACAATTTTGAAATTCTTGTGACTACTAACCCTGACTTTCCAAGTGTAGCCAAATGTCTTATAAAAAGTGGCCTTAAAATTTTTGTGATTTGCATTAATAAAATGTAGGAGCATGGATGACTTAAAAAATGGACTAAAACTATTTTGTGTAATATTTGTGCTGCTTTTTTTATTCTACAGTATTTTTTATTTTGAGAGATTGTTCCATAGGTGCAGTGATTACTGTAGGGTGTGTCCCTTTTTCATGTTATATATATTTTTTGCATTTACACAGGCATCTACTTTTTCTTTAAATTCTATGATGAAGGTTAAGACCACTTATTTCTTTATTTTATCTGAGCTTTTTTTTTCTCACCATTAGTTCAAAAAGCATTATAATAATAAATCAAGTGCTCTACTTTCTTTCTATGATTATGTTGCTAATGAGCCAAGACAAACTTCTGGAACTCAGATGAACTTCTAAATGCTTCCAAGAGAATTAGGAGTCATCTTTTATCTACCACACTCCCTGCTTCTCAGTGCATCTGAAGCCCTTGCTGAGGCTGTATACATTAATGCATTGGCTGGAAATGTGACTTTGGGACATTTTATAAGCAGTGGTTTTAGTGCTGTTAGTGGTGAAAAGGAAACTTGAGAAGATGAAGATTAATTTAAACCACATGATGGGATCGAGGAAAAGGGACCAACTCTACAGCTTCTTGAGTGTGTGCTGACTCTGTACAGTGGGGAATGGGACCCGAAAGAAACCACCAGTGAACTTTTGAACCCTCTTCAGAGGAATCAAACCAGCACAAGTTACACTGAAATGATGCTGTTTCTCACAGGAGGCCTCTTTGGTCTCTCTCACAACAGAACCCTCTGCAGAGAGGACACAGTTGAGAACCTGAAGAGATAGGAGGCCCCCAACTGTCACCATTGAGGGAATGAAGCTAGAACCATCTTTCCAATCATTAGCTAGGTTTCTCCTCTGTGTTTAAGCATAGCTTCCAGATTATGTTGGTTTTTTTTAACAATAGATAACCAACAAATTATATGTTGTATGTAGATCACTGCTGAACTTGAAATAAAAGATTTCTTTTCCCTTGCAGTTCGTTGTAGCCGTGTTCTGGATCATCTATGCCTATGACAGAGAGATGATATACCCGAAGTTGCTTGATAATTTTATCCCAGGGTGGTTGAACCATGGAATGGTGAGTGGATTAAAACAGCTGGCTTCCTTTTATTAAACAAAACCTATGAAAGAATTATTTTCTAATTTAGTCTTCCCATAGCATGTGCTTAAATATGTGTCAGTTATTAAAGATTGTAATGAGAGATTATTGCAAGAGAAGAATACTGAGTGTAAACAAAAAGTTCCTTCCCTTGGAATCGAGTCATCAGATAAACTATGTGGCAAATTAATCCACAGTTGATAAGAAGAGTGAGTGGTGTTAGATACTATAACCAGCTCACTCTGGGCTCAGTTTGAATTCTGCCTTTGGAAACCTTGTTCTCAGAGTCTGAAGAGTATTTCTGCCTACACACTCATCAGCACTCTGTTCCACCTCCACGCACATCAGAGGGATTGTGTGGAAAGGAGATCCGCCTCGGGCATTTGGAGGCATCTTTAGCAAGGACTTGTTTGTCTTGTCAAATTGTGTTCTTCTTGGGTGTTTGCCTGAGGATTTTCCCTTCTTGATCTAAATCTTTTTGATGATGTAGCCATGGTGTTACCTTCCCTAGTTTCGAATAAGTCTTTTGGATAGTTTGCACATTACTTTGCCATACTTGAGGATATCTTTTCTGCAGAAAAAAATGTTGTGTCATCTTTTTTTCCAGCTTCTGGAATCAAGCGCTATTTTGTTATCAACAAGCCTGCATTTTGGTAATGGTAATTTTTAGAATACATCCCAGGGTGTTCCTTTTGAAAAGGGCAACACATCACAAAAATTACAGGGGAAGGAAGAACTAGAAATCACAAGTCTTAGGTTCAAAATAACAATTTTCCTCCTGCTCCTATTTTGGTACATTTTAAGAAAATCGGTGTATACTAACAAGAAAACATTACTGTGTTGAGTGGTTTTGATCCAACCTCTCTCCAACCAAACCATCAAAAATGGCACATCTTGGGGAACTAGAATTTCCCTTGAGCTCAATTACGGCCACACCATCAGGTGCTTCGACTCTGCCTTCAAATGAATAAACTGGGTCCTGTCGTTTCAGGTTAGCCTCCTAAGGGGTCTGACAGGGATACATTCTTTCCAACTTTGACTTTTCTTGAAGGGAAGGGGAAGTCCTCTTCATAACTCCACGCCTTTGCAGTCTTCTGCCCTAAGTGCCTTTCTCTTTCCTGGCAGACTTCTGCTCATCCTGTTGGCTTAATTGTTATCTTTTTTATGAAGTCTTCCCCAACTTCTCAAAGCAGTTACCTGTTCCACCATTTGTGTGTGCATACTGCTCTCCCTTCTCTGTTTTGTATGTCTGAGCTCCCATGAAAATGTTAAGCTCCTGTGCAAAACCATGCTTTTGAACTCTGAGCCTTGAGTCCAGTTGTCTGGTAATATGTACTTATTAGATTATTGAATGAATTTATTATAGCCAGTTTTCATAATTTTTTGCTAGTCGATACTCATAGATGTATTTTCAGATGCACTGTATGCCAGGGTTTCTACAGTGATTGTACTGTTTAATTTTCACAATGGCACCATAAACAAGGAATTATGATCTCATTTACACATAAAGAAACCGAGACTCAAAAAAAGTCAGATAACTTGCCCCAAATCACTTAGAGTAGTAGAAATGGATCCGAATCTAGGCCCACCTGGTCTCAAATGTTAACACTTTCTACTAATATTTGAATAAAACATTAATTAGTTTTTAGAAAATGTTATTTTTCTGTAGCCTTTGCAACTATAGTTAAGAAAACAATGGTAAGATCTTCAGGATATTTTGAAGTTTACTTTCAAACCATATAGCATAGATTTCTGGCTAAGATAAACCAGTCGACAATTAGGTAGGAATTTTAAGGAAAGTATTTCAGAGCATTCATGACTCCCCAAAGCAGAATTCCAAGTGGAAATGTGCTTTGTGAATCACCACTCCAGCTATTAAATCAGGAAATATTGTCACACACTCTGAGAAGAGCAAGCTTTGGTCACAAGGCAGGCATGTTTTTATGCAAATAGTAATCAACTTTTATGACATGCAAATATGAGGAAAAGTAATATCACCAAGGTAAGTTTTCATTGGGTGTCCAAACTGAATGAAACAGGAAATGGAGACATGTGAAGCTCCTGGCTACAGTCCAGTGTGAAATAATGTATTTCCTGTTTCTGACATTAGGGCCTTTGCTAAGAACTGTCATATCATGTGCCATAGAAGTGCATACCTGGACTCTTTGGCCTATTGCTTACATCTTTACTCTGTACGGTATGCATTCAGGCCAGAGAATGAGTCACATCGTTGCAGGTTCTTATACAAAAATTTTAACATTTCAAACAAATAGCTTAATTATTTTTGTAGCCATTAGACTTTAGACTTTGACTATCTTAATTTTCTCTTGACTCACTTTGACAAGGAGAGCTTTTTCAAATGGACGGAGAGTAATTGGTTGAACTCTTGGTGATGAACACTACTTAGAAACGTAGGGAGGAACCAAGTGACACAAATATTTAGGAAAGAGAAAGGATAAATTAATTAACATGTCAAATCCTTGGAGACACTATGAGCTCAGTAGATTCTTTCACAATTAATTTTGTTTCCTAGTAAAAATTAATGATCATTTCTTCGATTTACTTCCTGGTCTCATTTATAGCTCCAAAATCACTGACAAAACAAGTTGCACATGGTGCCTGAGAAACGCTTCCCAGTGTTGATTTACATTGCTCTGATTGTGTATAGATATAGTATGAATACAGCCTCCATAAAGCACCATGCTAACTCTTTAGATTGGCAATTAAAATACAAACATCACATGCTGAAGTAATGAGTTATGTGTCATAAAATTCATGAAATTTAAAAAGTTAATTCAGTTCTTCAGTTGCTTCAATTTTAAAGGTTTAATAATTTTTAATGTTAATTTGTATTTACTTTGAATTCTAATGAAAATTTTGAATAATTTGAAAATAACATTTAAAATACATGAAAATTCAGTTTAGTATATGAAAATTCAGCAGAACCACTGAGCCAAATCCCTGACCCGATTATGATGATATTTTATTTTCAGCTGATATTATTAGTATCTAGAGATCAAATTTTATAAAAATGTCCATTGTAATGTATATTCAGTGATTTTGCTAAAATGAAGGCAAGAAAAAAATTGAATATATTCACATTTTGTTGAATATTTACTTATATTTGTAATTTATCAATATGTATGTCATTTTATACTCATTCAGTCACAGAACTGATTGATCATTTTATGAAAATCTAGGTGATAATAATATAGGAGGATGAGGCATATTTTATTTTGTACCTTATTAGCTTAATTTGTAATGTCAATAATTCCACAAATGGTTATGGCTCTCTAGGGCTATGAACTCGTAGTGTACACAGTGGGCACGAATGTTTGTTGGATCACAGCAATACAGCTGTGGGACTCCTACCAAGAGACACTTGTGACTTTAATGGATTTATACTGGCGGGACCTTAGAGGTAGAAGGTATGGTAGGCCAGACCATGGCAGGTTCTGGATGAGAGGAACTCCTAAGGAGATGGGAGAGGAGAGGCGCCCATGGGTTAGTGCCTCTATTGGGTCAGGTGGAGTACAACAAACAACAGGTGTGAGGGAATTTCAGCAGTATGTTAGAATGTCACTGAGTCACAGTCAGGAGTGCAAGGAGAAAAGCTATACCATTGCCTGTTCAGACATTTGCAATTAAAAGAATTCCGAGAGAGAATGTACCTTGTTCTTACGTGAAAAATTACATTCGCTATTCCAAGGGTCTCAAGCCAGTTTCTCTAGCGATCTCAAGCCCAGAACCACAGCACTTAGGTGGATGTGGCGTGTAAGTGTATCCTGCATCCATCTCCGAGGGCACTGTCTCAGTTTCAGATTCACAGCATGCACTGCCCAGCACAAAATGAGTCAGATAGCCAACCTAGGAAGACTTACAGGACCTGAAATCCACAGGGCTTTCGCTTTGATTTACAGTAGCATTGCCAGCATCTAGACATCATTGTAGCCCAGGACAAGAGTGGCCTTTCTTCCTTTCTATGGTCCACCTCTTTCCTCTCAGCATCTGGTTCCAGAATTTATTTGAGGAAAAGGAGAGGAAATGGGTAAACAAATGAATTAGAACAGTAGTACAACTAGTGAGTTATCTCCAGCCTCCAGGAAAATAGTAAAAAAATAATTTTAATTTATTATGTGTAAAATATAGCACATTTCATTGGAGCCAGTCCAATATCTAAAATCAAAATTTGGTCTTTCCATGTAGCTCTGTTTATTTTTTTATTTCCTGCAATTCCAGCATTGCATGGCATGCATTTGGCACTCGCTAAGTGTTCACATTGAAATGATATTTGTACATTTGCCCCAGATGCTCAGAAGAAAGTCACATTTACAATGGACTCTTGACTTGTGAACTAGATCGGTTCCCAGGGCTGGTTGTAACTAACTCAATACAGCTGAGAACTGGATGTTTCTCTGAGTATACGCTATAGAAAACAAGAGGCAGATGAATCTTCCATTAACCTAATTAACCCAAGTCATTCGTATGTCAGGCTGCTTATAACTTGAGGGTCCACTGTACTTTTGTATCCTCCCATTGGTGTTCACAAAAGTGATTATCTGCAGATGAGTTTGTTTCCAAAGCATGTGTAGAATGGACATGTACAGTTATGAGAGACAGAGTTCTCAAAGGCTTATAAGACACAGGGATTGAACTTGGATTTAACTTAATCTACCAAGTATTTATTGAAGATCTATGCTATTTTTGTGTTCTTCATATAGTCTACTGGCAAAAAATTTACCCATTCTAAGAGGTTGTCTCTTACTCCATTGGTTTTTAACTTTGCTGTGTAGAAGCTTTTTCACTTGATATAAACCCATTTATTGACTCTTGTTATTGTACCTTGGGATTTGGGGTCCTGTTCCGAAAGTCCTCACCTATGCCTATCACTTCAAGAGTTTCACCACTGTTTTTCTTCCAGCAGTGCTTCTAGTTTTATAACTAGGTCTTCGATCCATCTCGATTTGGTTTTAGTACAA